GAGTCCCATACAAAAAATCGGCTCAAAACTCGGTTCCTAGGCCAAGGTTTCCGCCACTTCCGTTTTGGAAGGGCCGACGCGTTTATGCCCGTTTCGGTCGAAAATTCAAATTTAATCGAGGACTCTTCGAAATGCTACGAAACTTTCCAGATCCTTTCTATATGTTATGAGGGAGGTCCGTGAAAAAAATCGGCTCAAAATTCGATTCCTAGGCCAAGGTTTCCGTCGCTTCCGTTTTGGAAGGGCCGACGCGTTTATTCCCGTTTCGGTCGAAAATTCAAATTAAATCGAGGACTGTTCGAAATGCTACGAAACTTTCCAGATCCTCTCTATATGTTATGAGGGAAGTCCCTGCAAAAAATCGGCTCAAAACTCGGTTCCTAGGCCAAGGTTTCCGCCGCTTCCGTTTTGGAAGGGCCGACGCGTTTATGCCCGTTTCGGTCGAAAATTCAAATTTAATCGAGGACTCTTCGAAATGCTACGAAACTTTCCAGATCCTTTCTATATGTTATGAGGGAGGTCCGTGAAAAAAATCGGCTCAAAATTCGATTCCTAGGCCAAGGTTTCCATCTCTTCCGTTTTGGAAGGGCCGGCGCGTTTATGCCCGTTTCGGCCGGAAAACAAAACTAAATCGAGTACTTCTCGAAATGCTACGTAACTTTGCAGATCCCTTCTATATGTTATGAGGGAGCCCATGCAAAAAATCGGCTCAAAACTCGGTTCCTAGGCCGGGGTTTACGCCGCTTCCGTTATGGACGCCTCTCGTTTATGCCCGTTTCGGTCGAAAATTCAAATTTAATCGAGGACTCTTCGAAATGCTACGAAACTTTCCAGATCCTTTCTATATGTTATTAGGGAGGTCCGTGAAAAAAATCGGCTCAAAATTCGATTCCTAGGCCAAGGTTTCCGTCTCTTCCGTATTGGAAGGGCCGGCGCGTTTATGCCCGTTTCGGCCGAAAAATCAAACTAAATCGAGTACTTCTCGAAATGCTACGAAAATTTGCAGATCCCTTCTATATGTTATGAGGGAGTCCCATACAAAAAATCGGCTCAAAACTCGGTTCCTAGGCCAAGGTTTCCGCCACTTCCGTTTTGGAAGGGCCGGCGCGTTTATGCCCGTTTCGGTCGAAAATTCAAATTTAATCGAGGACTCTTCGAAATGCTACGAAACTTTCCAGATCCTTTCTATATGTTATGAGGGAGGTCCGTGAAAAAAATCGGCTCAAAATTCGATTCCTAGGCCAAGGTTTCCGTCGCTTCCGTTTTGGAAGGGCCGGCGCGTTTATGCCCGTTTCGGCCGAAAAATCAAACTAAATCGAGTACTTCTCGAAATGCTACGAAAATTTTCAGATCCCTTCTATATGTTATGAGGGAGTCCCATACAAAAAAACGGCTCAAAACTCGGTTCCTAGGCCAAGGTTTCCGCCACTTCCATTTTGGAAGGGCCGGCGCGTTTATGCCCGTTTCGGTCGAAAATTCAAATTTAATCGAGGACTCTTCGAAATGCTACGAAACTTTCCAGATCCTTTCTATATGTTATGAGGGAGGTCCGTGAAAAAAATCGGCTCAAAATTCGATTCCTAGGCCAAGGTTTCCGTCGCTTCCGTTTTGGAAGGGCCGACGCGTTTATGCCCGTTTCGGTCGAAAATTCAAATTAAATCGAGGACTGTTCGAAATGCTACGAAACTTTCCAGATCCTCTCTATATGTTATGAGGGAAGTCCCTGCAAAAAATCGGCTCAAAACTCGGTTCCTAGGCCAAGGTTTCCGCCGCTTCCGTTTTGGAAGGGTCGGCGCGTTTATGCCCGTTTTGGTCGAAAATTCAAATTTAATCGAGGACTCTTCGAAATGCTACGAAACTTTCCAGATCCTTTCTATATGTTATGAGGGAGGTCCGTGAAAAAAATCGGCTCAAAATTCGATTCCTAGGCCAAGGTTTCCGCCGCTTCCGTTTTGCAAAAAATCGGCGCTTAGAAAAATCATAATTAATTCATACTTTGTCAAAAAATTCCAATTTTTTGTGGGAGGAATGCTTATATTGTGTTTAACAAGCATGTAAAAAATCATGAAAAAATTCGAAGTCTAAGTCATAAAAAAGGGGACTTATGTCTACAGGGAAAAAGGGACCGTTTTGCTGCTAGAGCAGGGTTTGCTGTTCAAACATATATAGGGGGAGGCACTTGGCTGGCCTGGGCAGGCCATGGGCAGGCCAGGCCAGGCCATCCTGGGCGTGGGCAGGTTTTGTGGGGGCATTCCGTGGGCGCCCCGGGCAGTTCTAACGCGGAAACGATGCATCTCTTGCACAAAATGACACCAAAATTTGAAATTTTCATCGGAGAATCAAATTTTCTTCGATTGAAAATAAAAATTTGGATGAATTTTGTGGTGCCCGGGCAAGCCAAAGGGGAGGCCACGGCGAGGCCGCGGTTCGTCGCGAGGGGGAAAACGGATGCAAAAGTGAGGCCTCGGGCACAAAATGCAACCAAAATTTGAAATTTTCA